TGATCTAGGCGCCCGCCTGCGCCCAGGGGCCCGATCCCACTCCCCCCATTGCCGTCGTGCTCCGCCATCGTGCCCGGCGCCCGGAGTTCCACCTAGCCGGATCGTCGTCCTCTCCATTGTCACTGGACCCTGCCGCATCAACCTTCATCGAGCCCGCTGCCTTGGACCCTACGCCCCACCGTGAGCTGCCGCTTTTCCCTCCTCCTCTCCCCGCGTCGGCTTCCCCGGCTCGCCTCGACACCGTGCACCCTGGTCCCCACCCTCGTGCGCGCCCGCGCCATCTATGGCCGCGCCCGATGCGCGCTCACCGCACCTGATGCGCGCTCACCACGCCCCCATCCGCGCACACAGGTCCCTGGACCGCCCTCTGCTACGCCTGCTTGCGGGTGGCCGTACGCACCGCGCTCCCTTGGCCGAAGCGCCCTTGCACCCCGCCTCAGCGTCGTCCATCGCTGGATCTGTCGGGCCTGCCCCCGCTGCTGGCTGCACGTCCCGCGTCGTGCGCCTCGCCTTGCCGCTCCCCTGCCTGTGCCGCTTCCTCGCCGCCCCGGCCGCCTGGCCGGCGCTGTGGCCACCGGCCTCCCCTGCTCCGGCGCCCTGCTAGCTCCGCCTACCCCTGGGCGTGCGCCCGAACGGGTGTGGGGCACCCGTTGCGCCCGAACCCGCTAACACCGACGCCCGCTAAGGTCCCTAGGGCCTATGACAAACGGGGCCCAGCTGTCGGTGTACTAGAGTAGGGGTACCCTAGTATCCCGAACTTGTGCACGGGCAGTTGCAGCGCCGCGCGGCAAGGCTTGCCGGACGACCGCCAGAGTCCTCCGTGGGTTCCTTTGGAACCATTCAAGAACAAAGCATTCAAGATGAAGAGACAAGGCCCCGGCAAGAGGATCTTGCCGGGAAGAGACAAGGCCCCGGCAAGAGGAGCTTGCCGGGAAGGCCAACCATGGCACTTCAAGAAACTTGCCGCGATGCACCGCACGTCCCGGCAAGGTCCGGTGAGCGACAAACTTCTGGACTCGACAAGACGACGACCCCGACAAGGTACTCGCCGGGGGCCCGCTGCCACTCTGTACCCACGCTCCAGCGCACCCAACCGCGTGTCGCCATGAGGCTTCCTCAGGGGCGCGTGGCGGGAGCCTGTGCAGCCAGGGGTACGCGGTGGCAAGCGGAGATGAAGAGAAGGCCATCGTGGCAAACGGTGGCGCTCCTAACGGTCACTTTTTGCACTGTTTAGGCAACTCAGACGGGCATTCAATGACCTTGTCCCCTGCCGTCAGAGTTAGGTAGGGTGCACTGTGTCCACAGTAGCGGTAGCTGCACCTACCGCATCCTTTTCCATTTTTACCCTTCTAGTCTACGTTGCCACCTGTCGGTGACCCCTTGAAAGTATAAAAGGAGGCCCAAGCGCAACGTAGAGGAGGTTCGGCTCATTCGAAACATCAGGAACACTCTCACGCTCGGTCTGGCAGCATCCATCGCTCCTGAGCAAGAATTCAATACACGCAAACAAGCAGCAGTAGGGTTTTACGCATCGGTGCGGCCCGAAGCTGGGTAAAACTGCTCGCGTGTACTGCCTCGATCCGCTCTTTGCGCGGCCTCCGCCCCCCTCCGAATCGAAAGGGGCCTGGTCCCCATAGGTGTTGGTGGATCAGTTTCCCCGACACCAGCCCCAGAACGTTGTTATTAAAAAAAGAATTAGAAAAATATTAATTAATTAATTAATTAATTTGACAATTAATTAACTTAATTGGATCTGTTAATTAACCTGATTAACTCTGATTAGATAAACTAATGATTAATTAACTAGTTAATTAGGTTTAGTTAAACTGTGACTATGACAGGTGGACCCACGTGTAGGTTCGACTAAGTCAACAGGACTGTTGACTGCTGACTGGGCCTGCTGACCGTGCTGTTGACCCAGTCAATGGCCCCATCTGTCAGGTTGACCGGTCAACTCCGTTGACTGCTGACATCAGCATGACATCATGCTGATGTCATAAATCCATTTTTGAATTAAATAAATAATTAATTAAATTCCAGAAATTAATAAAATCTTTAGAAAATCATATCTTTTAAACCGTAACTCGGATTAAATTATTTTCAACATGAGAGTTGCTCAGAACGACGAGACGAATCCAGATACGCGGCCCGTTCGTCCGCCGCACATCCCTAACCTATCGGACTCGCAGCTTTCCCCCTCCGGGTCCTCTGCCCGGAAGCACGAAACACCGGGGATACTTCCCGGATGTTTCCCCCCTTCACCGGCATCACCTCATACCGCGTTAGGGCACGCCTAGCTTCACGTTTTGCTTTGTCATGCATCGTCATGCATCTGTTTGCATTGTATTCATTGTTTCTACCCCCTCTTCTTCCGCTAGACACCGAGACCGACGTCGCTGCTACCCAGTACGACTACGGAGGTGACGACCCCTCTCTATTGCCAGAGCAACCAGGCAAGCCCCCCCCTCCCCTTGATCACCAGATATCGCCTATTCTCCTCTATACTGCTTGCATTAGAGTAGTGTAGCATGTTACTACTTTCTGTTAATCCTATTCTGATGCATAGCCTGACATTGTTGCTACATCTGTTGATACCTTACCTGCAATCCTAAATACTTAGTATAGGATGCTAGTTTATCATCATTGGCCCTACATTCTTGTCAGTCTACCTTGCTATACTATTGGGCCGTGATCGCTCGGGAGGTGATCACGGGTATATACTATACATACATACATACTATACAGATGGTGACTAAAGTCGGGTCAGCTCGATGAGTACCCGCAAGTGATTCTGATGAGGGGGCTGAAAGGACAGGTGGCTCCATCCTGGTAGAGGTGGGCCTGGGTTCCCGACGGCCCCCGACTGTTACTTTGTGGCGGAGCGACAGGGCAGGTTGAGACCACCTAGGAGACAGGTGGGCCTGGCCCTGTTCGGCGTTCGCGGATACTTAACACGCTTAACGAGATCTTGGTATTTGATCTGAGTTGGCTACGAGCTTATACGCACTAACCATCTACGTGGGAGTAGTTATGGGTATCCCGGCGTCGTGGTATCAGCCGAAGCACTTCAGACGTCAGCGACTGAGTGGCGCGCGCCGGATTGGACTGGAACGCCTGTAGGCTAGGTCTGCTTCCGGCCGCGTATGCAACGTGCAGGTGTGCTAAGGGCGATGGGCCCAGACCCCTGTGCGCTTAGGTTTAGACCGGCGTGCTGGCCTCTCTGTTGTGCCTAGGTGGGGCTGCGACGTGTTGATCTTCCACGGCCGGGCATGACCCAGGAAAGTGTGTCCGGCCAAATGGGATCAAACGTGTTGGGTAAGTTGGTGCACCTCTGCAGGGAAGTTAATCTATTCGAATAGCCGTGATCTTCAGTAACAGGACGACTTGGAGTTGTACCTTGACCTTATGACAACTAGAACCGGATACTTAATAAAACACACCCTTCCAAGTTCCACAGACAACCCGGTGATCGCTTTTCCACAGGGCGACGAGGGGAGGATTGCCGGGTAGGATTATGCTATGCGATGCAACTTGGAGATGCTACTTGGAGGACTTCAATCTACTCTCTTCTACATGCTGCAAGATGGAGGTGGCCAGAAGCGTAGTCTTCGACAGGATTAGCTATGCCCTTCTTATTCTGGCATTCTGCAGTTCAGTCCACCGATATGTCCCTTTACACATATACCCATGCATATGTAGTGTAGCTCCTTGCTTGCGAGTACTTTGGATGAGTACTCACGGTTGCTTTTCTCCCTCTTTTCCCCTTTCCCTTTTACCTGGTTGTTGCAACCAGATACTGGAGCCCTGGAGCCAGACGCCACCGTCGACGATGATCCCTACTACACTGGAGGTGCCTACTACTACATGCAGGCCGCTGACGACGACCAGGAGTAGTTTAGGAGGATCCCAGGCAGGAGGCCTACGCCTCTTTCGATCTGTATCCCAGTTTGTGCTGGCCTTCTTAAGGCAAGCTTGTTTAACTTATGTCTGTACTCAGATATGGTTGCTTCCGTTGACTCGTCTATGATCGAGCACTTGTATTCGAGCCCTCGAGGCCCCTGGCTTGTATTATGATGCTTGTATGACTTATTCTTGCATTAGAGTTGTGTTGTGATATCTTCCCGTGAGTCCCTGATCTTGATCGTACACGTTTGCGTGTATGATTAGTGTATGATTGAATCGGGGGCGTCACAAGTGTTAAGCCTGTGACATGGAAGTAAGAGGTCTTGGTTTAATTAAGTATGTCCTAATAGCATTTATTTCAGCATATATTGTAACTTTTTGCTTATACTTTTCTCTTTGTATCGTATCTTTTTTTCCTTCTCTCTTTCACTTCTGTTATATATTTTTGACATTACTACACACCTTCTACTGAATGTTCATTTGCTTATAACTTTACTAAAAATATAGTATTTTTTTAGGTTTGATAGATTTTATTTTAGATGCAGTCTCTTTTTCCATGTAAATTGTTTCCTTGCAATTTTATAGATTTGATTACGTATTCAATCTCTTACTTTCTTGTAATTTCATACATTTTTCTTGTTCTGGATATTCATCTTCAAAATCCTGTGTTGCCACTGATTTGCTTGTCATTATGTTGTACCTTTGTTGCCTTGTGTTTAATGTACCATTTCAGTTTCAAGATGACCTGTCTACACGTCATGAGAAAAGAAAGGAAAAAAACTATGTACATTTATAGCCCTCACCACCAACGGTTATAATCACATTTAAACATGATTTATCGTTTTCCTCTGATTAATAGTCTCATACATGAGTACATTATCTGTTAAAGGTGATGTCTTTGCCAGAACCTCTCAACAAAATGGACACTTGTCCGTTTGATCGGAAACACAAAGCACAGCTAAGCCGGCACCTATACCTATCTCAGCCTATTTAACACACTGAAACAAGTCGATCAGAAGCACAACACTTACAACTCAACCAGCAAAGCCCTAAAGGCAAGTGCGACTACTTGCATTGCACCTTGGCTTGCTCTAGCCATGGAGAACGCCGACGTCCCCAACGGAGCAGCGGCGCCGACGCCTACCCAGGCGACCCCGGCGGTGAGGGAGCAGGACCGGCTGATGCCCATCGCGAACGTGATCCGCATCATGCGTCGCGCGCTCCCTGCCCATGCCAAGATCTCCGACGACGCCAAGGAAGCCATCCAGGAGTGTGTGTCGGAGTTCATCAGCTTCGTCACCGGCGAGGCCAACGAGCGGTGCCACATGGAGCATCGCAAGACCGTCAACGCCGAAGATATCTTGTGGGCCCTAAACCGCCTCGGTTTCGACGACTACATCGTGCCCCTCAGTGTGTTTCTGCACCGCATGCGCGACCCCAATGCGGCGACAGGTGGTGCCACCGCAGGCGACAGGCGCACCGTGATGAGTGCACCTTCCCGCGCGGCCCCGCCCATGCGCCACGCCGTGCCGCTGCAGGCTCAGATACAGCGTCCAGTGTACGCGCCTCCGGCTCAAGTGCAGGTTCAGAATCAGATGCAGCGGCCAGTTTATGCGCCCCTAGCTCCGATGCCGGTTCAGAATCATGTGAAGTGGCCCATGTACACTCCCCCAGCTCCGGTGCAGGTTCAGATGCAGCGGGGCGTCTACGCGCCCCGGGCTCCAGTGCAGGGTTACACTGTCGGGATAACGCCCGTGCGGCCCAACGTCGGCGGCCAGTGCCATGTGTTCGGCGGAGAACAGGTCGTGGCCCAACAATACTACGGGTACGGGTACGGGGAAGGTGCGTACGGTGCGGGTAGCAGCAAAGGAGGAGCCTGTGCCGACGAGGGGAGCTCGTCCAACGGCGTGCCGGTGCCGGGGGAAGGCACGGGAGAGCCGGAGCCAGAGCCAGCAGCAGAAGGATCGCAGGACAAGCCCGTTCAATCTGGTTAGTCGCGTGGGCAGCGCTCGTTAGCTTCTGTGTCCTGCGTACTGTAATAATTTGCCGTGTTGATCCGGCCGTGGTTTATGTGTGCGTACTTCTTACCTAATGTGGGCTTGTCCTCTAGTAATTCATGTACTCTTTGTTGTTGAAGTTATCGTCGCTTAATTTGGTTTCTCTAACTTTGGCTACTCGCAATTGATGATCCTATGAAAAGCTGCATTTGTTTCCAAAAGATTTTCCGACCTCAGCATCGTTTGTGATGTGTAGAATGCAGTACACAATATTTTGCGTTGCAAATTGTAGCTCCGTATAACGTTACGAATATGTCATGTTCACGGGTCATATGGTCGCTCACGCTCAAACAAAAGTCATACTCTCTGTATCTCTCCATCTACTTCTATCTCTCACTCTCCAGCCACATGTACGTTCATATGTGCGTCAGTTAGCAAAGTGGTCATGAATGAGTTTGGAGCGACATAGGTACTTCAAAGCCTTTGGCCTGTGATGAAATCTTGCATGCGTAGCTGGAAAGGGAACTGCCTGACGTTGTTGTACTGATGGGGTGCACGCCGCCGACTGGCATGGAGCGGTGGAAAGGGCATCGTCGCGCGCTGCATGATCGATAGACTTGCGCGAACTTCCCTCTCAGCAAACCACACGTGCATACACAGGGGAAAAACACATCAACGTGTGCCTTGCAGTGATAGTTGTGCGGCTCGCAAACACTGTGGCTTTGTCTTCGTCGCTCGGGTCGCCCACCGTCGTAGCGCCACTGGGCTCTTGCATCATTCTCCACTCCGCTTGCAGCATCCACTACCCGTGGTCGCAACATCACAACCCTCCACAGACACATCCCGTCGTCGCATGATCCATTGCCCCCCTTCACAACATCGTCATCCTCGCCCATTCAGCCGTTCGTTATCGTACCATTCACCTCTCGGCCTATTAGCATACAAGGCAAGTCACCATAGCAACACCACCCTCACGCCCAGAACACTCATCGATCATCTCTTGCCACTCGCAATAGCCACCACACGGTTGCATCATCATTGTCGCTGATCGTAACATCGACAGTCACCCTCGTATAACGGCCAGCCGCCGCTTGTAGCCCAGCCCGCCACTTGAAGGACACCATATCAGTGCTTACAACTCAGAATAGTGCAACCCGCATCATCACATGACCATCTGCCGACCGTGCAGCTGGTCAGCCTCGCACCAATGCCCTCAGACTATGCAGGAGCCAAGGTTGCCTCGCAATGGACAAGGAAAGTGGTGATCGACGCTGGCAATGCGCGTGCAAGCATGAGACACACACACACGCACATACACAGAAAGAGAGGGAAAGAGACGGAGAGAGAGAGAGAGAGAGTGAGTGGGCGAGTGAGTGAATGAGTGAGTGAGGGAGTGTGTAGGGAGGAGAGGAACCTGACTCTCGACGAGTGTGGGCACGAAGAAGGCGATGATTCGCTCACAAACTGTTGCAGCGGCCATGCGGGTAGGGGTGATGACGTAGCACCGGAAGTAGTGAATAAAGGACACTCCTGGATTGAGTGGGTCAAGGGTTGGCCACTTGTAGAAGTCACAAGCCGCACAAAGAGGGACACGAAGAGAAGGGGAGGGGGAGAGAGAAGAGGGGGTAGTTTATTCGGCGGAGATATGAAGAGGGAGAGAAATTTCCAAAATAGGAGATAAGGTGTGTGTGGTATGGGTGGGGACATGTGATTGTGTGAGCGGCGAGGGAAGCGACCAACGTAAGGATGGATCAGCCACTCAACATTTACCCAAAGAGAAAGCACTCGTAGTTCACTTGACATAATGGTATACAAACTCCGGATGCTAGGTAGTAACTTGTCAAATATACTACAGCGCAACTTATCATGCGTGCACCAAGACCATGTGGAATGTCTCACTCATGTGACACACCTAGCACGAGCATGCATCCACCCTACACGAGTCCAGCACTAAAGACCCTCTGGAACCGGGAGTAGTTCCCTGTTTTCTACTAGTGATCATTAAGTAATATTACCTCTGTACAATTATATAAGACATATTTATAGTTCAAATTTGAACTAAATGTTTTTGCAGTTCAAATTTGAACTGCAAATATGTCTCATACTAGTTTACAGAGGGAATATATTGGGTTCTTTAAAAAAATTGAAGTCCTAATAACCATATAATCAAATTGTGGTAAAGTAGTTTTTCTCTTCTTTTCTTGTTTGCATGGAAATTAAGTAGAAGCTATTAAATTTGTCATTGAGTAGTTCCACAATGTAAATTTGTTGTTAATATCTTGGAGACCACAATAAAGCATGTGAAGATCTTTTTCACAAAAGAATGGGTGCCTTATCATTTGTCCATGCACCTACGCCCATATTTTGTTGAGGCTTCATGGTTTCTGAGATTGCTGATACTCGTTTCCATTTGACTTGGGAGCAATCCAATCATGATTTCAATATCAAAATGTATTGGTCAAAAATGCTAATACGTAAATACCACCATGTCTTGTAGCCACGATCTAATTAAGAAAACAAATTCAAAATAGAGGTATTACGGTAGCTTAGTTGTTTGTTTATTATGCATGGAATGTCATGAAAACAGGTGAAGACCCCGAAGCCCAGAAGACTCAAGTGGAGCCTAGTCGGCCCAGAAGGCTGGCCCAGCCCAACTCACGCTACACTGGGCCGACCTGGACTAAGTGAGTGGGTGTATATGTAGCTCGCAACAGAGAGTGTGGACGCATCAAGAAAGATCAGAACCCTAGACCCGGCCGCCTGTGGCGGATTCCCCTCTCCCACCTCCAGGCTCTCCTCTTGAATCCTCCTTCTTGCTGCCTGAGATTTCTGTATCCACTTGTATCTGAGCTTGGATCTATGTAAGAGAGTGTTAAGCCTGTGACATTTGGTATCAGATTGCCACTCGATCCCCCCCTATTTCCAAATCTGGTACCCCAACGCACCCGCAAACTCGAGGAGGTGATGGCGGAGCTGGATCTGCAGAAGCAGATGACGGCGGCGGCGGAGGAGCGCGGAGCCATTGCCAAGGCGTTGTTGGCGATCCAGAAGTCCTTGGACAAAATCGAGCCGGCTGTCTCCAAGATGGAGCCCCTGCTCGCGTCGATCGAGCCTACGGTCAACGACCTGGCGGATTGGCGGCCCAGCGTCGACCACGCGGTGGGCAAGCTACAGCTCGACATGGGCGAGATCCGCGCCGAGCTCTCCAAAATCGCGTCAAGCCCGCTCCTCATCGGTGCCCCGGCGACCCCAATGAACACTACAGGGCCGCTCCTGGCGGGCGCGCCTCTCTCTCCTTCGGCCCTGGGTGGCGACGGCCACGGGCTAATTAGCCGCGATGCTGCAATGACGACACGGGATCCGGTCCTTGGGGGCACGGTGCCCCCGGCGCCTATCCCGGCCAACAGTGTGTTCCGTACTACCTTTCCTACAGTTCCTCTGTTGGGTCCGAGTGGGGACACCGTTCCGAGTGCCATCCATCATTCTGCGGCATCCAAATTGGATTGTCCAGAGTTCGATGGAGACAACCCTACAGGGTGGCGCATCAAGTGTGAAGCATATTTCAGGGTTTGTTCCATTGAACCACCTGCTTGGGTCGATACTGCCGTGGTGCACTTTATTGGGGCGGCAGCCTTGTGGTTGGAATGGTCCAAATCGCATATTAAGTTTCCATAGTGGGAGTATTTTGTTGCTGCAGTGTTAGAGAAATTTGGTAAATCTGAATTTCAACAGATGCTTCGCAAATTCTCTAGATTAAAACCAACTGGTAGTGTCTTAGAGTATGCTGAACAATTCAATGTTGCTATGCATAGTCTCTTAGCTCATCATAGTTCTTGGGATCCTTTGTTCTTTACTACCCAGTTTTTAGATGGTTTGCAAAGTGACATTAAAGTTGCAGTAATGTTACACCGTCCGACTTGGATACTGCTGTGGCTCTTGCTGAATTGCAGGAAGAAGCTATGGAATTATTGCGGGAGGAAAATATGGAAATGACAGGGCAACGCTCGCTGGGCACAATGGCAAAAGGGCACCGGTTCTCCCCGAAGCCAAACCTGTCACTCCCTCCTGTTGGGGCCTCAACCAGCAAAACGGGCACCTCATCGTTGCCCAGTCCAACAGCGACCGAAGGGCGGCGTAACTCAGATGGTGCCAGAAGTGCAACAGCCGTGACTTCCACAGATGACAAGCTGAAGGCACTCAGCCGTGACTTCCACAGATGACCATAGAGCACCTCAAAGGGAGTAGTCTTGAGCGTGGAGTGGTAAGAGGTATTGTACCAAAATTCTGCAAGAGAGAGCCACTCTTTCCAACGCTTTGGACAGTTATGCACAAAACACCTGAGGTAGATCTCCATGCATTGATTGACCCTTTCCGACGTCCCATCTGTCTGCGGGTGCCTTGCTGAGGAGATGTTCAGTGTAGTGTGAGACAAACGGCACAACTCTTTCCAGATTTTACTTGTGAAAATTTGATCACGATCTGACACCAGAGCATCCGGGGGTCCATGGAGCTTAAAGACATAGTCCATATATGCCTTGGCCACGTGCAGCGCCGTGAAGGGGTGTTTGAGTGGTATGAAATGAGCATACCTAGTCAATTTGTCCACAACCACCAGAATCACATCATAGCCATGTGATTTGGGGAGTCCTTCGACAAAGTCTAGAGTCACCATTTGCCAAGCTTGCTCAGGAACAGGCAGCGGTTGGAGGAGTCCAGGGTAGCAGACATGTTCTGGTTTTGCTTGTTTGCAGACCGTGCATTGGTTCACAAACTCTTTGACTGTTTGCTTCAACTTTGGCCAAGCAAAGAGCTTCACAAGTCGATTGTAGGTAGCTTGGACTCCGGAGTGGCCACCCAATGCACTGGCATGGAATTCTTGCAAGAGCATTTGTTGGACCGTAGTGTTGTGTCCAATCCAAACTCGCCCTTTGTATCTGATCAACCCATCTTGGACAGAGAATGGATGCTCGAGAGGGTCCTACTCAACTACGGCTGCCAACAGCCGAGTACATTGTGGGTCATTGTGGCATCCTTCTTTCACTGCCTGTAGCCACATTGGCACACACACAGTTAAAGCCAGAGCTTGATCTGAATGATTCAATCGGCGTGACAGGGCGTCCGCTGCATGATTGGTAGCACCCTTCCAATACTCAATGGTGTATTGGAGATCCAGGAGTTTTGTTAAAGCTTTATGTTGCCACGAGGTAGTGAGGCACTGCTCATCCAAGCACGACAAGCTCCTGTGGTCAGTGCGGATGGTGAAAGCCGACAAGAGCAAGTACGGCATCCAGCGATCGATTGGCATTAGAATGGCCAAGCATTCTTTCTCATAGGTGGATAGAGTTTGCAATTTGGGGCCTAGTGCTTTGCTGAGGAAGGCGATAGGGTGCTACTCCTGCATGAGCACAGCTCCGATACCACAATCTGATGCATCCGTCTCCAGAATAAACGGCTTTGAAAGATCTGGAAGAGCCAAGACCGGGGCTGTGGTCAGTCCTGTTTTGAGTGCAACAAAAGCCTCTTCATGCAACGATGTCCAGACGAAGACAATGTTCTTCTTCAGCAAATTAGTCAGTGGTCTGCTAATGACACCATAGTTGCGGACGAACTTCCGGTAATAACCCGCTAAACCCAAGAATTTCCTCACTTCCTTGGCTGTGCCTGGCCTTGGCCAATCACGCACCTTGTCCACCGTGTTGGGGTCCGTGCGCACTCCTTCCGCACTAACTACATGACCGAGATACTTTAGTTGCGGGCAACAGAAAGTACATTTGCTCAGCTTCACCTTCAGTGAGTACTGCTGCAACCTTTGAAATACCGATCGAAGCAACAGTAGATGCCCTTCCAAAGTGCGGCTATAAATGAGTATGTCGTCAATAAAGACGAGCACTCCTTTGCGTAGCAGAGGACCCAACATGATGTGCATGCCATTCTGGAATGTGGAAGGCCCCCCTGTGACTCCGTTGGGCATAACTTTAAACTCGAAATGGCCATGGTGGGTTTGGAACGCTGTTTTTGCTTCATCTTAAGGGCGCATACGGATCTGATGATAGCCGGAACGCAGATCCAGAGTAGTGAACCAAGCAGCACCAGCCAATTCGTCAAGGAGTTCATCTATAATTGGCATTGGAAATCTGTTTTTAATCATGATCGCGTTCAAGTGGCGATAATCAACACAGAACCTCCATTCACCATCCTTTTTGAGAACTAATAAAATCGGCGATGCAAACGGACTCTTTGCTGGGCTGAATGATCCCTTGAGCTAGCATGTCAGCCACGATTTTCTCAATCTCATCTTTTTGGGCTGGTTGTAACGATACGACCTCAGGTTCACCGGCTTAGCCCCTGGTATAAGTTCAATTACATGATCAAACTCCCTCTGCGGTGGCAATCCCCGCGACTCCTCAAAGAGCGAATCAAACTCTTGCAAGAGTTCAGCAACTTCCGTGGGTACATCGTCAGGTGGAACAAGGGAAGATTCACTGGTCTGGTTTCCCCACATCTCTGGCAACTTGGGAAGACCTGGTGCCGCTTCGGACGCGCTTCCCTCGAGCTTTGGCTTGGGGACAAGCCAAATGTAAACGGCGGCGAAATTTCATGAAAACAGGTGAAGACCCCGAAGCCCAGAAGACTCAAGTGGAGCCCAGTCGGCCCAGATGGCTGGCCCAGCCCAACTCACGCTACACTGGGCCGACCTGGACTAAGTGAGTGGGTGTATATGTAGCTCCCAACTGAGAGTGTGGAGGCATCGAGAAAGATCAGAACCCTAGACCCGGCCGCCTGTGGCGGATTCCCCTCTCCCACCTCCAGGCTCTCCTCTCGAATCCTCCTTCTTGCTGCCTGAGATTTCTGTATCCACTTGTATCTGAGCTTGGATCTATGTAAGAGAGTATTAAGCCTGTGACATGGAAGTAAGAGGTCTTGGTTTAATTAAGTATGTCCTAATAGCATTTATTTCAGCATATATTGTAACTTTTTGCTTATACTTTTCTCTTTTTATTGTATCTTTTTTTTTCTTCTCTCTTTCACTTCTGTTATATATTTTTGACATTACTACACACCTTCTACTTAATGTTCATTTGCTTATAAATTTACTAAAAATATAGTATTTTTTTTGGTTTGATAGATTTTATTTTAGACGCAGTCTCTTTTTCCATGTAAATTGTTTCCTTGCAATTTTATAGATTTGATTACCTATTCAATCTCTTACTTTCTTGTAATTTCATACATTTTTCTTGTTCTGGATATTCATCTTCAAAATCCTGTGTTGCCACTGATTTGCTTGTCATTATGTTGTACCTTTGTTGCCTTGTGTTTAATGTACCATTTCAGTTTCAAGATGACCTGTCTACACGTCATGAGAAAAGAAAGGAAAAAAACTATGTACATTTATAGCCCTCACCACCAACGGTTATAATCACATTTACACATGATTTATCGTTTTCCTCTGATTAATAGTCTCATACAGGAGTACATTATCTGTTAAAGGTGATGTCTTTGCCAGAACCTCTCAACAAAATGGACACTTGTCCGTTTGATCGGAAACACAAAGCACAGCTAAGCCAGCACCTATACCTATCTCAGCCTATTTAACACACTGAAACAAGTCGATCAGAAGCACAACACTTACAACTCAACCAGCAAAGCCCTAAAGGCAAGTGCGACTACTTGCATTGCACCTTGGCTTGCTCTAGCCATGGAGAACGCCGACATCCTCAACGGAGCAGCGGCGCCGGCGCCTACCCAGGCGACCCCGGCGGTGAGGGAGCAGGACCAGCTGATGCCCATCGCGAACGTGATCCGCATCATGCGTCGCGCGCTCCCTGCCCATGCCAAGATCTCCGATGACGCCAAGGAAGCGATCCAGGAGTGTGTGTCGGAGTTCATCAGCTTCGTCACCGGCGAGGCCAACGAGCGGTGCCACATGGAGCATCGCAAGACCGTCAACGCCGAAGATATCTTGTGGGCCCTAAACTGCCTCGGTTTTGACGACTACGTCGTGCCCCTCAGTGTGTTTCTGCACCGCATGCGCGACCCCAATGCGGCGACAGGTGGTGCCGCTGCAGGCGACAGGCGCACTGTGATGAGTGCACCTTCCCGCGCGGCCCCGCCCATGCGCCACGCCGTGCCGCTACAGGCTCAGATACAGCATCCGGTGTACGCGCCTCCGGCTCAAGTGCAGGTTCAGAATCAGATGCAGCGGCCAGTTTATGCGCCCCTAGCTCCGATGCCGGTTCAGAATCAAGTGAAGTGGCCCATGTACACTCCCCCAGCTCCGGTGCAGGTTCAGATGCAGCGGGGCGTCTACGCGCCCCGGGCTCTAGTGCAGGGTTACACTGTCGGGATAACGCCCGTGCGGTCCAACGTCGGCGGCCAGTGCCATGTGTTCGGCGGAGAACGGGTCGTGGCCCAACAATACTACGGGTACGGGTACGGGGAAGGTGCGTACAGTGTAGGTAGCAGCAAAGGAGGAGCCAGCTCGTCCAACGGCGTGCCGGTGCCGGGGGAGGGCACAGGAGAGCCGGAGGCAGAGCCAGCAGCAGAAGGATCGCAGGACAAGCCCGTTCAATCTGGCTAGTCGCGTGGGCAGCGCTCGTTAGCTTCTGTGTCCTGCGTACTGTAATAATTTGCCGTGTTGATCCGGCCGTGGTTTATGTGTGCGTACTTCTTACCTAATGTGGGCTTGTCCTCTAGTAATTCATGTACTCTTTGTTGTTGAAGTTATCGTCGCTTAATTTGGTTTCTCTTACTTTGGCTACTCGCAATTGATGATCCTATGAAAAGCTGCATTTGTTTCCAAAAGAGTTTCTGACCTCAGCATCGTTTGTGATGTGTAGAATGCTGTACACTATATTTTGCGTTGCAAATTGTAGCTCCGTATAACATTACGAATATGTCATGTTCACGGGTCATATGATCGCTCACGCTCAAACAAAAGTCATACTCTTTGTATCTCTCCATCTACTTCTATCTCTCACTCTCCAGCCACATGTACGTTCATATGTGCATCGGTTAGCAAAGTGGTCATGAATGAGTTTGGAGCGACGTAGGTACTTCAAAGCCTTTGGCCTATGATGACATCTTGCATGCGTAGCTGGAACGGGAACTGCCTGACGTTGTTGTACTGATGGGGTGCACGCCGCGGACTGGCATGGAGCGGTGGAAAGGGCATCGTCGCGCGCTGCATGATCGATAGACTTGCGCGAACTTCCCTCTCAGCAAACCACACGTGCATACACAGGGGAAAAACAGAGCAACGTGTGCCTCGCAGCGATAGTTGTGCGGCTCGCAACCATTGTGGCTTTGTCTTCGTCGCTCCGGTCGCCCACCGTCGTAGCGCCACTGGGCTCTTGCATCATCCCCCACTCCGCTTGCAGCATCCACTACCCGCGGTTGCAACATCACAACCCTCCACAGACACATCCCGTCGTCGCATGATCCATTGCCTGCCTTCACAGCATCGTCATCCTCGCCCATTCAGCCGTTCGTTATCATACCATTCACCTCTCGGCCTATTAGCATACAAGGCAAGTCACCATAGCAACACCACCCTCACGCCCAGAACACTCATCGATCATCTCTTGCCACTCGCAATAGCCACCACACGGTTGCATCATCATTGTCGCTGATCGTAACATCGACAGTCACCCTCGTATAACGGCCAGCCACCACTTGTAGCCCAGCCCGCCACTTGAAGGACACCGTATCAGTGCTTACAACTCAGAATAGTGCAACCCGCATCATCACATGACCATCTGCCGACCGTGCAGCTGGTCAGCCTCGCACCAATGCCCTCAGGCTATGCAGCAGCCAAGGTTGCCTTGCAATGGACAAGGAAAGTGGTGATCGGCGCTGGCAATGCGCGTGCAAGCACGAGACACACACACACATACACAGAAAGAGAGGGAAAGAGACGGAGAGAGAGAGAGAGAGAGAGAGAGAGAGAGAGAGTGGGCGAGTGAGTGAGTGAGTGAGTGAGGGAGTGTGTTGGGAGGAGAGGAACCTGACTCTCGACGAGTGTGGGCACGAAGAAGGCGATGATTCGCTCACAAACTGTTGCAGCGGCCATGCGGGTAGGGGTGTTGGCGTAGCACCGGAAGTAGTGAATAAAGGACACTCCGGGATTGAGTGGGTCAAGGGTTGGCCACTTGTAGAAGTCACAAGCCACACAAAGAGGGACACGAAGAGAAGGAGAGGGGGAGAGAGAAGAGGGGGTTGTTTATTCGGCGGAGATAGGAAAAGGGAGAGAAATTTCCAAAATAGGAGATAAGGTGTGTGTGGTATGGGTGGGGACATGTGATTGTGTGTGCGGCGAGGGAAGCGACCAACGTAAGGATGGATCAGCCACTCAACATTTACCCAAAGAGAAAGCACTCCTAGTTCACTTGACATAATGGTATACAAACTCCGGATGCTAGGTAGTAACTTGTCAAATATACTACAGCGCAACTTATCATGCATGCACCAAGACCATGTGGAATGTCTCACTCATGTGACACACCTAGCACGAGCATGCATCCACCCTACACGAGTCCAGCACGATGACAAGTTACAGTTTAGGTGGGGCCGCCACATTTGAAAATCCACACCATCTCGGTAGGTGACAGTTTTTCCACATGTGCGGGTCCTAAACCCTCCCTTAAGTCACCCCTGACTTTTCATGCTCACTTCCATACCTTCCTAAATATAATATGCAAGAATCCTTCGACTAGTTCTTCCCTCCCCCACCCCATATTAGCGTTCACAATACGCAACAGTGCACCTACATCTTCGCGTGACCACGTGCCGACGGTGCGGCTGGTCGGCCTTGCAGCAACGCCCTCAGGCCACGCGGCAGCCAAGGTTGC